ACAAGCACTCTAGACTTTGGCTATGTGTGGACAGTCTGGCCAAGACTCATTATGTAATGAGCACTATCTTTGCCAAAGCACTGACTGAAAGCTCTAGTGAGGGACCAGCAGCTGCTTCTCCATGAGTCAGTTGCCAGCTCTTACAGAGTAACTTACAAAGTTAAGCAGTTTTTTCATTATCAAGAATAATACACCTGCTTTACAAAAAGAAAATCCACAACTGCTAGTGCTGGTGCTAAACAAGAAAAGCAAATGAAGTCATCTCATGCTCTCCTCCTTCACGGGGGACACATGCTACAGGTGTAGTCTGGAATTGGAAGGTTTATAATAGCTGACATCCATGGAACTCTATGGGTGAGGCTCACGCTGGTGCTCATGTACTTTTCTCATTTAATCCTCTCACCAAGCCAATGTTTATCCTTCTTTTACGGATAAGGAAACAGAGAGTTTAAGTAATTTTCCCAGGGTCACACAGGTAGTAATGCAGAGAGTGGATCTGAAGCCACATTATCTAACTCATTCTGGAACCTATACTCTTCATCATTACTGTTGCTGCCACTCCTGGAGAGTTCCAGAACACAGCAGAAATCAAGGAAGGTCCATACACATAGACTGAATAGTACCTCTGCATGGAGGGGCAGTGTCTCTCTTAATCTAATACTTTGAGGTTGAACTGGGACTTTACTCAAAAAAAATAGCTGAGCAGCCTACCTCCCATTTCCTACCTTTCCATTATATTTTTCATTTTCACTTATTTCTTAAATACAGAGTGATCACCTTACTCCAGGGATCATGAATGACCCTTGGATTTGCTTTACTTATAGGAGTACAACAAACCACTCAGCCCGGCACACACAGACCCGTGGTCTGGCAAAGGCTCTGCCCCCATTTCCATCACATCCCTCACGTGGGACCCCTGAGCGGTCTCCCAGCAAGCCCAGGGCTCGCCAGCTTCCCTTCCGTGATGTGGTTCTCCTGACTTGAAATCCTGTTCATACACAGAAGCCAGGTCAGCTTCAGGAACAAATCATGTATAGAGTGGCATCGAATACTTCTATTGCAGGTTGAGCATCTCTCATCCCAAAATCTGAAATCTGAAGTGCTCCAAAGCCCAAAACTTTTGAGCACCAACATGACACCACAAGTGGAAAAGTCTACACCTGACCTCAGGTGGCAAGTCACAGACAAAACACAGACATACAACACACAATTTGTTCAGCATCCCCTAGGGTAAGAGAAACTTACCTCAGGCTATGTGGGTAAGGTGTATATGAAACATAAATCAATTTTTTGTTTTCAGTATCTTATATTTATGCAAATACTTCAAAGAAATCTGGCCAGGTGTGGTGGCTCATGCATGTAATCCCAACACTTTGGAAGGCTAAGGCAGGCGGATCACCTGAGGTCAGGAGTTTGAAACCAGCATGGTCAGCATGGTGAAACCCCATCTCTACTAAAAATACAAAAATCGGCTGAGTGTGGTGGCGCATGCCTGTGATCCCAGCTACTCGGGAAGCTGAAACAGAAGAATCGCTTGAACCCAGGAGGCAGAGGTTGCAGTGTGGCAAGATAACACCATTGCACTCCAACCTGGGTGACAAAGCAAGACTCCATCTCAAAAAAAAAAAAAAAAAAAAAAAAAAAATCCAAAATCCAAAACACTTCTGGTCTCAAACATTCTGGGTAAGGAATACTCAACCTATATTTTTAAATAATTCCAAATATTATTAAGTCCCATAGTAAGTAAGGCTGGAGGAAAGTTTAATTGAAAAGGTAGAAAAGCCTTTAATAAATGTGATTCCTAAGGTTTTCAGTTGTAGATTCAGATTCCAATTAGGAGAGAATATTTAATATCACCTCTAGTGGTTTGTTTTTCTCAACAACTCTAAATCTACCAGAAGGGCTTTGCAGCAGTTTTCTCAAAGTGTAACAAATTCTACTTTGTATATCATCTCTTCATGTTTAATTATAAGGATCTGAATTTACAACAGCAGTTAATCAGTAATTAGATAGTACTGTACCAAAAGAAATTAAACGAAGATAAAACAAAAACACAACTTAGCACAAGGCCATATTATCTGGTAATGTTACATGTAGCATGATTAAAATATTCCCTGAGAAATACAGATTAACTGAGTCATTAGTGATACATTCCTTTGACTTTTTTTGTTGTTATTAGTGATTTCCAGTGCCAGCAGAAAACTTAAAGGTAATCCAAATCCAAAAACACTCTGATTATATGAATTATTCCATTTTTATTCTTCATTATAAGTCTCTTTATTATGCTCGATAATTATTTTGAAATGTAGTGGTAGATTTTTACAATGCAAAATAAATGTATATTTTATAATGATGGCATTCTGTGTTGACTGTCATATTTAAAGAAAACACATAAATCAGTATTTGAGTTAATTATCAATTAGACCTCAAAAGCAAAATGTTCACCTCAGGTGTGGAAAATCAAAAAAGATACAAAGCAGATTGAGAGAGGGGCAAAAAGTTCCCAGAAACCAAGACATAGAATGAGGTAAAAAGGCTATTTAGCAAGTCATTGTAGGAACCAGGGGAAGAGACAGGGGACCCTCTCCTTACCAAGTCATGTGATCCCCCTATACCAGGTGCACAGGCCTCCTATCCTGGTTCTTAAGCCTTTGGTTAGTAAGGGAATAAAAGCAGACTGGCCACTGGGAAGAGAAGTCAGCAGCCCTCCTAATTCAGTCTTGGAAGAGATGTGGGCAGCCGCCAGCTCAGGTGTGCCCCACTCTGGGTGATGCTGGAGCTGGGCTCTGGGAAGGGGAGACAGTTGGAGAAGCCCCAAAGTGGATTAGTGGATATATAGCAAGCTTTTCTCCTTGCAAAAAGGTATTTTTTATCCCTTTATTTATCCTGTGACCAGCATGACATGGGAAGACTGAGCCAACAAAACACTCAGAATTACCTGAAGGGGCTTTGCATTCTTTCCTGGGTGCCATTTCAAGAGGCTTTGTCTGTGTAAGAAACTGACATTACCTTTACTCCTATGTACAGGGATCTAGTAAACTGTAAATACTGTAAAAATCTATAAATGGTATGCCAAATGAAGAAATAGTTTTTTCCCCCTAAGTGTATGAAGTTGTCTTGAAAACTTCTGTGTGGAGTGAATTTCATTGTGTACTCATAAGCTTGCTTTACAGAAGTATTTTAATTGTCAGTCTGTGAAACAAGTAATTTGTCTTTTGATAGAACAATTTGCTAAAAAAGAGCAAAAGGTACTTTGAGAAGAATTATTGAAGAAAATTTCAAAGATTTCCATCTCTTGGTACCTTGGATTGAAAGAATAAGCTTTGTTTAATAATTTAGTATCATGGTAGACATCAGAGAGCCAAATTGTAATAATTTTTGTAACTTCATGATGAAATTAATGGGGCAGATCTCCCAAAATTGGGAACCATTTGGTTTTTTTCTCCAGTTTAAAAATTTCTCTCTCTCCTGCTTTGTGAAGCAGTGCTGTGAAGTTTCTATGTCTGAGAGTTCATTGCTTTTCCAAATTAGACAGCACACCTGTAAATGAAAACCACATTTGCAAAGTGACAATTCATTTGTGGATATGGCTTATTAATCCTCTGTTGGGCTTCTTCAACTGTTCTCTAATTTGAAAATGTTCATCTCTCAGGCGGTGGTACAATTTATGTGATTTCATTGTACGACACAAACTTTTGCCTCTCAATTTTACCTCTTTTGTTGAAATAAGCTTAAACAAGCTGACTGCAGTCACCATGATCATCATCTTATGAACCTTTATTCAGAGTTAACTGGGCAAGACTAATGAACCAGAGCAACCTCTTCATGTCAGTGAATGACTACCAGTAGCTCTTCACTTTAACAACACGGTAATTATTCCCATGACCTACTCTTTCTATAGTAAGTAGTTTTAAAATTTTTTTAAAAGCTTGGGACTTCAAACACCGCTAGTTGTATTTCTCCTCCAGCATTTCCCATCTCAGTAAATGGCTCTAGTCAGTGCTCCGGCCAACGCCTGAGAGCTTTCCTTGCTCCCTTTTGCTCATGTCCCAATTCCAAGTGCATCAACCAGTCCTGCTGAATCTCCTGACACCGTCCCCACCCTAGACCAACCCTCAGTTTCCTCACCTGGACTCCTAGCAATCATCTCCTAAGTGGCCTCCCTGCTTCTTTTCCACCTTTCTGAAAATCCATTCTCCATATCGCAGCTCAGGTAATTCTATTACAAATATTCATCATATTACTTCACTAGGCTGCTTAATGCCTTCCAGTGACTTCCCGTTTCACATAAAATCAAATCAAAACACCTTCCATGGTCACCAGACCCCATGTGACCAGCTCTGCACCGCCCTCCCCTTCTCACACTCTAGGGTCAGCCTTTAAACATTCCCACACATTCCTGCTGCCATGCCTTTCCACAAGCTGCTGCCTTTGCTTGGGGTACACTTCCCTGCCCCTCAGGACAGACTCCCCCCAACCTTCACAGTTCACCTCAGATGTCACCACCTCAGAGAAACATCTCCTGACCACCTAAGATGCAGCCTCCACAGGCAGAATTGTCATGTTAGCCTGTTGATGCGCTTCATAGCACTTGTCTTTATCAGAAATGATTTTGTACCTTCTAGCTTGTTTGTTTACTGATAAGTGTGTTGCTTCCCATCATCCTCCAAGCTCCATGAAAGCAAGAACCTTGCTGGTCTCCTGTTCCCCTCGTGTCTCTCATGGCTGGGACAGGGTCTAGCCCACAGCACACTCTGAATAAACAGTTGTTAGATGAAGTATGGATGATGGAATCCTTATCTTCCTAATACTGTATGACTTTGACCGAAACACTTAACTTCATGGACTTCAGCTTTCTCCTCTATAAAATAAAGCTAACAGAATATCAGTTGTTCCTGGGAATAAGTTAATGGAGTAAATGTGCGGCAGGGCATGACACCTTGTCTGACCCACAGCAGATGCAGAGTGAGCAGTCACTAATGTCCCTTCCTGTTTTACAGGAAATCTTCAGAGGAACTAGACATGGACAAGGTGACAGCAGCAATGGTACTAACCAGCTTGTCAACCAGTCCTTTGGTTCGAAGTCCTCCCGTGCGGCCGAACGGTAAGCCCAGGAATATGGAGCTTAGGGAAGGGCCCCTTACACCAAGAGCAGGGCCTCTCTTTGAGGGGTCTCCTTCCTATCAAACGCCGTGAACCACTGACCTTCACCCATTAGCAAGAAGCAAAGGGAAACATGGAAGACGTCGAGGCCCCCAGAGCTGTTGGCCTTCTCTTCATCTTCCCGGAGAGCCCGCTGCTTTTCGTTCACCCATCCCTCCATTCAACTCACTTTTTTTGAGCTCCTTCATTTTCTGCCTTGCTGGGACACATCTTTGCAGTACTTGTATCCCTCTTTTTCCCAGGTAAATGAAGATTGAGCTAATGAATTATTTTCCCTAGCATTATTTCTGTTTGACTGGGGAGGTAGTTGGATCAAAGAACTCTCAGCTTAAATATGCTTTTATAACATTATCCCTGACTCCTTAATCAAATAGAAGTATTTAGTCCATTCATTTATTCCACACACATTTATCAGGTACCATGCTAGACGAATTGAATACCTCATTGAAAAAGTGTCCACATTCCCAGGCCGTATACTATCTCTCTGAGGAAAAAAGACTACCAATCATAGCCATATGAATGGCTAGCATTTATTGAGCATTACTGTTTGTCAATAAACAAGTACTGTGTTTGCTTTATCTCCTGTAATTCCCACAACAGTTCTATGAGATATTATTATCACTATTTTACAGATGAGTAAACTGAGGTTCACAGGGATTAACTGGCAGAACTGAAATTCTCCATATCTTTTTGATTCCAGATTTATTCTCTTAATCACAATACGATTTTGTCTCATATAATACAGTACAATAAATAAGAAGGTCAGGGAACAGGAGGTGAAGTTAGAGTGACTGGCAGATCTATCAAGAAGGGTCATTTATGGCTGGCTAGGAGTTTGGACTTTATGCTGAGGCTATGGGAGCACTTTTAAAGTGATTCTAGCCCTGGAAAGTTATGATTAGGTTTACCAGCCAAAAGAAAAAGAAAAGGCCTTGGTGGTCACAGTGGAGAGGAATAGGCCATAATCGAGACATGTAAAGAAAGCAGAATCAAGAGTATTTAGTGCTGGACAGAGAGGGCGAACAGGAGGGTGTTTCAAGGATGACTTCCAGGCAGTTGTTGTGCCTCAGCAATGGGAGGACATTTATTGGGATAGGGACATATGTGCAGGAAGAGATCTATTAGCAAATGTTTGGGACAAGAGCTGAGGTCGCTGAAGAAGACAGTAGGGTCAGTTTGAAACATCTTTAATAGGCAGTGCCTGAGGATCATTCAGGGGGCAACATATGGTGGAGATTTGGGCACATTCTGGGAGAGAGATCTGGGCTGAAGGTACAGATTTAGAAGGCAACATTTTGAATCTATGAGAGTAGATGAGATCACCATGAGAGAGTTATGTAGAAGCAGAGTGAAAAGAGAAGATGGCCAAGGAAGGAAGCAGTGAAGCTCACCGTCAGGCAAGAAATTGGCAGTGGGAAAAGAGCCTAGGAGGAGGCTGACAGGCAACCAGAATGGTAGAGGACAACCAGGAGAATGTGGTTTCACAGAAACCAAGGGAAAAACATGTTTTAAGGAGAAGTGTCTGATGCTTCAGAGGTCATTCACTAAAAGGACTGAATTTTGTATCACTGGTGGCTTTGTCAAGAGCACTCCCTAAAGAAGAAAGCCAGACTGCAGATTGCAGTTCACTGAGATGTAATGCACTGAGACCACTGAATGAGACTTACCACCAATGAAAACCTCCTCTCAAAAACCAGCATGGTCAATTATGAGGTTGAGATATGGCTCACACACAGTTTGGTTTTAAGCATGAGGTGTTAAAATAAATTTGTTGAACATACATTGAGTCCTCACCAAAACTTTCTCCAACCGCATTATAAAGCAAAAGAATGATCATCCTGGTAGGAATTTACATCAGTGTCATGAATTAGTATTGCCCAGCAACATCATCATTCACCAAGCTGGGATAGCACCTCTTCTTTTCTTTTTTCTTTTTTCGAGATGGAGTCTCGCTCTGTCATCCAGGCTGGTGTGCAGTGGTGCTATCTTGGTTCATTGCAACCTCTGCCTCCTGAGTTCAAGTGATTTTCATGCCTCAGTCTCCTGAGTAGCTGTAATTACAGGCATGTGCCATCACACCCAGCTAATTTTTGTATTTTTAGTAGAGACAGGTTTCACCATGTTGGCCATGCTGGTCTCCAACTCCTGACCTCAGATGATCCACCCACCTTGGCCTCCCAAAGTGCTGGGATTACAGGCGGGAGCCACCGTGCCCAGCCGACTGACACCTTCTGTTTACATAGCACCAGATGAGGTGCTCTTGAAATGGGTTTGACCTATTCAGTGACCTGACTGCTCTTCTCGGGGTCTCTGGCAGACAGGTATTCTGATTTACCTGTCTCACTTTGGCAGTGCTAAAGCAAGATTATAGTAAAAGCGAAACTATGGCCAGGTATGGTAGCACATGCCTGTAGTCCTGGCCCAGGACTTTAGGGTTGCATTGAGCTATGATGGTGCCACTATACTTCAGCCTGGGTGACAGAGCAAAACTCCAATTCCAAAAAATAAAAAATAAACCTGAAAAACCCCCAAGATATGTTCTAGGAAAAAGAAATTGCAGAATTCCATGGAATCTTTAGAGGGGGAGAAAAAGGTGTATTTTAAAGTAATCATTATTTTTACCATTGGGTTTTTTTGGTTTTTTTTTTTCAATGCCACCTGGGCTGGAGTGCAGTGGCACGATCTCAGCTAATTGCAACCTCTGCCTCCTGGGTTCAAGTGATTCTCCTGCCTCAGCTCCCCAAGTAGCTGAGATTGCAGGCATCCACCACCATGCCCAGCTAATTTTTGTATTTTTAGAAGAGACGGGGTTTCACCATGTTGGCCAGGCAGGTCTCGAACTCCTAACCTCGTGATTTGCCCACCTCAGCCTCCCAGAGTGCTGGGATTATAGGCATGAACCACTGCACCTGGCTGGCTTCTTTTTTAAATTGAGAACATTTTTAGTATTCCTTTGTACTTAAAGGTCAGAATGAAAATAAACCTTTTCGTTCTTCAGTGCAAATTTTTGTTAGCACAGTAATAAAATAATTCAGTGTTGATGTATGGTTTAAAACATAACTACTCAACTAATAACCCCAAATTGTCTGCTGTCTCTCATTTAGTCTGTAAGAAAAAGCAAATTCTTAAATAGGGAAAGCAATTTATGATAACAAAGGCATTTTTTAAGGAAAAAAAGATTTTCACTAGAATTATTGCACATCAATGAATTTTTGGAAACTGTTGTGATCATTTTCTGTGCCTAAAAAGGATCATTCTGTCAGGAAGTGGGTCTGCAAAGAGCGTGAGGGTCCAGCAGTGCCTGTCTGCATTCTTGACAAACAATGGCTTAATATAAAGAGGCTCTATCCCCTAAGAAGATTATAAATCAGACCTGACTTTTTTCTGGAACAAAAAAAAAACAAAATCATTTCTATATCACTTGGTCCTTCTGACTAAATAGTGTTTCTAAAGGAAATGCCATTCACAAATCATTAAGCAAATTCACTTCTGGCATTGACATGAAGCCATGTAACCACACTGTAATAATCATTGGTTCTCAAAATAAATTCAGTGCCTCATACTTAACATGATTACACATCAAGCACCACAAGCTTTATTTTATTTTACAAATGCATACTACAGTGTATTTATCAGCCACCAAAGCCTGCCAAGGGAGTTTTTCGCACCAAGCAAAATCATCAAGCCTTATATTATGCTCTTCTTGAACTCCTGTTGCACCAAATGGAGCTTTCTTATTTACAGCAGGCAACTCTGGTCTGGTGAGTGCATCAGTCTCTGTGTAGACTGCAGGGAGTGAGATGCTAATTTGGTTTTGTTGATGCTGGCAAAGCATGAGACTGCATAAATGACCATTTGATTCTAAAAGAACCTAGCTTTAATGAGATAGGTAGTTTCTCCTATTTCACCTTAAAATTTCACTCCTCTAACTTAACTTTTTGCTTGACATAATTGAGGAATATGCCTGAAATTTATAATTAGGTAAAGATAGGTAGGAAATTTCCCCATGAATGCGAATCTCCCTTGTCATTATTTCATTACTAATTACACAGACGTTAACAGTATTTTTTTTTTTAATGAGGCATTTGGGGATGTTTTTTCCTCCTTGTAGTTAAAACATGGTTTTAATATGTTCAAAATGCACATAAATATGGAGGAGAAATTATTCAAAAAGAAAATAGAATTTATACAAATGCTAATTAAGGTTGTGCATCTTAAAAGGTAAAGCAAATCTTCAGTGATTAAAAGAGCATCCAGAAGACATTCTCTTTTTTTTTTTTTTTTTTTTTTTTTTTTTTTGAGGCAGAGTCTCACTCTGTTGCCCAAGGCTGGAGTGCAGTGGCACAATCTCAGCTCTCTGCAACCTCCGTCTCCTAGGTTCAAGCGATCCTCCTGCGTCAGCCCCCATAGTAGCTGAGATTACAGGCACACACCACCATGCTAAGCTAATTTTTGTATTTTTAGTAGAAACAGGGTTTCGTCGTGTTGGCCAGGCTAGCAGAAGACATTCTAACTGGGCAGAAATCTCTCCACATTAGCAAACATTTCATAATGCTTTCCACCACAAATGGAAAGATAAAATCCAATAGCAATCTTATCAGTAATTATTGCCAATAAATTCTTATCCTATCCCAGCTTTGCCAGAGAGAATGGAGGTTGTTCACAGCCCAGGGACTGCATTCAGAGAGGAAAGAGGTCCAACCAGCAGGCCAGCTTCGGCCTGGCTCACCAGGAATACTTACCAGTCACTAGCAAGTCACTTTGCTTCCTGCTGCCTCAGGGTCCTCATCTACAAAACTGGGATGATAATCCTTATTCTGAAGTACAGATGTTGTCAGAATGCTTGCAACTGTGTGAATAAGCTTTGTAATATGTAAAACACTCACAAAATGTAAAGCATTACTAATTTGTTGTAATAAGCAGAATGGAAAGGGGAGGCTTTAGATAACTCTCCAGGAATTATTTCTCTTAGATTCTCAAATGTTAGACTAACTTTCTATAAATGTATTCTAAGAACCACATTCCTATGAGAACTCCCCACCCCCCAACTTTTTTTTGAAAAAGGATTTTGCTCTTTTTGCCCAGGCTGGAGTGCAGTCACCCAGTCATAGTTCACTGCAGCCTCAAACTCCTGGGCTCAAGTGATCCTCCCTCCTCAGCCTCCAGAGTAACTGGGACTACATACAGGTGCATGCCACCACACTCAGCTAATCTTTTTATTTTTTCTGTACAGGCAGGGTCTCATTATGTAACCCAGGCTAGTCTCGAACTCCTGGCCTTAAGCAATCCTCCCACCTCAGCCTTCCAAAATGCTAGGATAAGAGAGGTGAGCCACTGCCCTCAGCTAAGAAATCCCTTTAAAAAAAAAAAAAAAAAAAAAAAAAAAAAAAAAAAAAAGTTGAAATCGGAGGAGTTGGGGTGGGAGGGAACTCTGTGACCAAACCATTCAGGAGAATACTGCAAATGACATTCCTCTCTTAGAAATACTGCAGTCGGCTGGGCACGGTGGCTCACGCCTGTAATCCCAGCACTTTGGGAGACTGAGGTGGGTGGATCACGAGGTCAAGAGATCGAGACCATCCTGGTCAACATGGTGAAACCCCATCTCCACTAAAAATACAAAAATTAGCCGGGCGTGGTGGCGCAGGCCTGTAGTCCCAGCTACTCAGGAGGCTGAGGCAGGAGAATTGCCTGAACCCAGGAGGCGGAGATTGCAGTAAGCCGAGATCGCGCCATTGCACTCCAGCCTGGGTAACAAGAGCGAAACTCCGTCTCAAAAAAAAGAGAGACAGAGACAGAGACAGAGACAGACTGCAGCCAATAAACCCAGAGCACCCCAAACTTAGTGAACAAGAAAATCTTTTTTCCCCATATAATACCCACTATGATCCAATCCCCACTAGGATCCCGAGGAATTCGTGTTGCACAATACAAAAACACATCAGAAAACTCTTAGAAAAACCTGTTATCATGCGGTTAAAATAATTAAATGTTTATAAACTACAATGTGGCTTTGGGGAGGGGAGTGTATAAATAGAACAAAAACTGACATACCCAGCTGTTGCAGATTATTGAGAGGGCTAGGGTGGTTTCACTGGAGTAGAACCAAGGCTCCCGCTTCCCCACTGAGCCATGCCCGGGCACGCAGGGGTCCTTGCACTGACTGTGTTTGTGTGCACGCAGAGAGCCTCAGCGGATCCTGGAAGGAGGGCGGCTGCGTGCCTTCCAGCACGAGCAGCAGCGGCTACTGGAGCTGGAGCGCCCCCAGCGACCAGTCCAACCCGTCCACGCCGTCGCCGCCGCTCTCGGCCGACAGCTTCAAGCCCTTCCGCAGCCCCGTGCAGCCAGACGACGGCATCGACGAGGCGGAGGCCAGCAACCTGCTCTTCGACGAGCCCATTCCCAGGAAGAGAAAGGTTGGTGATCAGCCACGTGATCTTCTGCCTTCAGTTTCCTGAAGGTGCTTTCTGTCCCCTTTGAAGGGCCGGTGTGAGCTTAACTTTGGACCCACACCCCCTTTTCTGTGGAAGGAAGCAGCTTACACTCCTCTTTAATGTTCTTGAAGTTTAAATAGAAATTGTTATGGAGACAATTTAAAAATGATAAATACTGGTAAGATTCCTGAAAGTATATATGCACGTGCCTTATCCTCTAGTTGTAAATTGCTGACCTGAGACTTACCAGTATTTCTAAGTTAGAAAATTGGACCTCAGGCTTGCTTCGGTATGAACTCGTTCTCTTCTTGGGACTTATTTTTTTCATATGTAAAATACAATTAATATATTTTTCTCTTTTCTGCTTCAGTCAGCCCTGAAGGGTTATTGTGAAGAATATTTCCTATCTCATTTTTATGCAGTCATCTGTGAAATATCCATAAAGGCTGAGATATAAACAAACTTCCATTCTTCCATCCTAAAAATTATATATCAACTAAATAAAAAGTGAAAAGGGGCCAGGCACAGTGGCTTATACCTGTAATCCCACTGCTTTGGGAGACTAAGGCAGGAAGATGGCTTGAGACCGGGAGCTGGAGACAAGCCTATGCAACAGAACAAGACACTGTCTCTACAAAAAAAAATTAGATTTAAAAAAAATTAGCTCAGTATAGTGGCATGTACCTGTAGTCTCATCTACTCAGGAGGCTGAGGTGGGAGGATCACTTGAGTCCAAGAGTTCAAGGCTGCAGTGAGCTATGATCTGGTCACTGCACTCCAGTCTGGGCAACAGACTTGTTGCAAAAAAAAAAAAAAAAAAAAGAAGGAAAAAAAGACATCTAATTAATTGATTTAACAAATTAATTAATTAGACCTTTTATTAATCCAGCAGCTCTGAGTGGTAAGTTTTTCACTTCCACTTTGATATGAGGAAACTGAGGATCAGGGTGATTGATTTTTATGTTTAATTGGCCCCTGTTAGGCAGGTTAGAAAGGAACAGAGCCATCATTCAAACCCAGATCTGCCTGAGCCTCAAGCTCATATTCTTGTCATTCTCTTCAGGTACATTTCAGTTATGTTCACTCATAATTTTTCAAAAACATTTCCATTTCATAGAATAAAGTAATACTACCACTGTACTACCACTAAATCTAGAAGATATTTTGGCATTTTTTAAAATCACTATGTAAATGTTATATATGTTGGTTTTTAAATTTTGCATTGGTAGCTTCATTATTAATGGCTGTTCACAAAGATCCGATATAAAGCCCTGAGGACTGCAGTGCAAACTTTTTCCTCCCCCAGTGCATTTCAAAGAGGAAAACAGAGATGGCATCGATCCAACAATGCCTTCCCTCTGTGCGTCTCTCAGCATCATTCTACCTGTGTAACATGTAGAATGGAGGTGATACAGGCACTGTCTCTGGGTGTGTACATGTGAAAAAGGCTGACATTTTTGTCCAGAAAAGAGGATATTAATGTCATCCCCTGACCTTCCCAGAGGCAGTGGCCTGAAGAGTTGCTGTTTGATTCCCGTCTGTTATGCAAGGGGGCTGGAGTTGTTCTAGCACCCCATGGGTCCTAGACAGGGACACTGAGTCTTCACCTGACCAGGAGGGGAGAGAGGCTGGCACTTGTATCAGTGGGTACCTGCAGGCAGGACAGTGGTGGGGACCTGAAGTCTTTCCCTGTTGCTTCAAGCTTCATAGACTTTCTCCCTGGGGTTCTCTTGAGTGTGTAGTCCAAACACTCAACAGGCATGGCCCAGTGTTGTGACAAGGACTCACAGCACAGGGAACCCCAGTGTTATTTAAGACACATTGATGAAAGCCTGTCACAGTCTTCCATTTCTAATGCAGCCACTGAGCCAAAATTCACACTCTTACATCACAATTATATTGCACTCGTTAGACTCATATGGATGGTCTAAAGGCTTTAACTGAATTAGGGAATAGTCACGTCACCAAACAAAAAGGAAAAAAACTTCCTTTTTTACATTTTTTATTTAAAAAAATTTTTAGGGCTGGGCATGGTGGCTCACGCCTGTAATCCCAGCACTTTGGGAGGCTGAGGCGGGTGGATCATGAGGTCAAGAGATCAAGTCCATCCTGGTCAACATGGTGAATCCCCATCTCTACTAAAAATATTTAAAAAAAAAATTAGCTGGGCATGGTGGCACGTGCCTGTAATCCCAGCTACTCAGGAGACTGAGGCAGGAGAATTGCCTGAACCCAGGAGGTGGAGGTTGCAGTGAGCCAAGATCGCGCCATTGCACTCTAGCCTGGGTAACGAGCGAAACTCCATCTCAAAAAAAATAAAAATAAATATATATTTATTGTTATTGGAAGAGCACAGGCCCACTCCACAAGAAGCTGGATAGTAGGAAGGAATGAACAAATAAGAATCATGTTTGTCCTTCTTTCTTTATGACTCCTTCCTCTATTCAGACTTTAGATGTCGCCAACGTGAGACCAACAGGATGTGGATGGTAGCCACTAATGTTTAATGCATGGATTTTACACAGACCAAGTTGTTACCTTGGCCTTTTGAATTTAAAGTTACTTTGAATAGTGAAAATAAAAAGAAGGTGAGGCTGGTGCTATTCTTTTTCAAATTTAATAGGTAAACCAATATTTACTGAGCACATATTAGGCAAAATGCTTATAGAATAAGGCATAGTTTTTTTCCGTCAAGGTGTTGAAAGTTGGGTGGCTGGAAATTGATATGTAGAGAGGCAATAATTACAAGTGATAAATGCTGTGTTCATGACGTGGCAAAACACAGTAACTGTAATACGGTTATTTTAGAGATTTTAAAAATTATATTTCAAAAGATTTCTAAGAGTTAATTTGCTTAAACCAGACAATGTATTCTGTCTAGTTGGTAGAACTTTCTGCATTCATCTTATTTTCTTCTCTGTTCCCTCAGTTTCATAATAGCTATTTAAAACCCATTGTGATAGTCACATGTTCTGTGGGTATTGTTTGAGAACCTTCTAGATCAGTTTTTTCCAAACTGCACATCTAAATTCACTAGTGAGTTATGAATCAATTCAATGAGTCACTTTAATCAATAAAACAGAATAGAGTACACTGTCCATAATAAGGATAGATATTGTTTCTTGGTAATTTTGTTTCATTGTATACGTATGTGTATATGCTTTGCAAAATGTATTTCTTATTGTGGTTCATCAAAAAGCTTGGAAGCTTCTGTTCTTTGTTATAAAGAGATAATATGATTTGTGGTAAATTAAGGTGTCCTGATTGGAAATCAAAAGATCCACATTCTTAACTCTTCTCCCCTGAGAACCTAAAAATATCATTTCACCTCTCTGATCTTCTACTTCTTCATATGTAAAACAGGCAAACAGGTATTAACATGTCCCTCTCAGGACAGTCATGAAGATTAAATGTGATCATAAGTGCTGGAATGTGACAACCTTTTAATAGATATTTGAGGACCCTAAACAAAAGGGGAGGGAGCATTGCCTATATCTAACCATGAAGCAATGATCCTGACCTTTCTCATTGTTTTGGAAGCTTCCTTATCTCTTCTCCCACCTCTCCCCAACACAGAGATGGCTCACTCCCACCTCTTGTGGAGATTCATGTTCCACTTACGTAAAGAAGATGATAGTGTGTGGTATACTGTATAGACAAGGCATTCTGTCTTACTATCAGTAGTGAGGACAAAGTATCTGCTGATAATCACTATATTTGCATATTTTGTTACAGTTTACCAAATACTTTTAAATGTAGCATTTCGTGTAATCATCCCTCAAATCTTTAGTCTATTCTTATCCCCACTGTGCCAAGAAGCTCATCGAAGTTCTGTTAATTGTCCAAGGTTGTGTAGCTTATAATGTGGCAGCAATCAGTTTAACTGAAATAGCAGAGGAAATGTTTGAGGCAAGTTATTTCAACAAATCCATATTTCCTTCTGCCCACAGAGGAGAAAAACGTGGAGAGAAAATAATCAGACATAGCTACAGCTATTGACAGGGTGGGAGCAAGGGTGTAGAAAGTTCAGAAAGAAATGGAGAGCAGAGATAGGAACTCCAGGCTTTCTACCTGAGAGCTTCCTTCCCACATGATGTATCCTCACCCTTAAGGGACCTGTAGCAAGGTAGATGAGAATGCGAGAAGGGAAATGAAAAACTTCTCTATCCTAGTTCTGGAGGTCAGCCAGCCAACTTTGTCAAGCCCAGTTCTAGAAGAATTTTTCCTCTGGGATTTCTTTTTTTTTTTTTTCTTTTTATTTTATTTTATTTTTCCTCTGGGATTTCAAGACAGACTGACAGAACTTACAAGCTCAGAGGCAAAACCCTGGTTGTGTGAGCCAGGACTCTTGACTTTGGGGAGGTGCAGTTTCTGTCATGACCACAAGGTGATGCAGTGACCCTAAATACAGCCATTCTAGGAGTTCCTGGGAGAAAATGAATTCTATGGAAGGTGGAAGAGTTAACCATCAATTCCACAAGACCGCTACAAAAATCAAGACACGCTGATTAGAAATGATTTCTGTGACCTTTCCCATGCCAGATCCCTGATTCAGTCAGATTCTGGATTCCGTGCATGCCAAAATTGGCATGGCAGCTTTAGGACTTATGTGGCCTTAAGCAGGTCACTTGGCCTCTCTCTGCATCAGTTTCCTCATCTGTAAAATACGGAAAATGGTGGCACCTACTGATGTGGCTGTTGTCTGGAATATATGAGAGGCCCTGTGAAGAGCAATAAATGTTAGCTGCTAAATGTTTGGGGTTTTTGGGGGGGGTGGTTTTGCCCCATTTGGCAACTGCCTGAATGGGAAATTTGAGAAGTCTGGGTGTGGAGAGAAGGGAGTGTTTGCCTCCACCCTCCACCCTGACCCACACTGACCGTGCCAGTGCCACAGTGGCTCAGGATGACTCTGGACCTCCCAGCCACCCTGTGCTCATTTGGGCATGCATTGAGACGCTCCCCTGCAATGCACTGGGTGAGTG